CATTCTCCTTTGTAACAGTGTGTATATACTCCAGTTACCATGTCTATAGTAATGTGTGTGTGACTGTAGGGACACCTTATTCATTCATTTGTTTCAGTGTTAATATATTGTTTGCCTGGAAAGTAAGCTTAGCTGTCCCATGCTCATAAAAGGGGAAATTCTTCATAACCAACCAGGTTGTCGCATTAACACTTTACTGCTTAAATGCCTGAACACAGTGTGTTCTGGTGCTTTTAACTCTTATGTGCAATTTGTTCTTCCAACAAAGTGATAGTGCTGATTTTTCCTTTGCGTGACAGATTGGAAGCTGGGTGATGTAATTGGCTCCCTGTTAAATCACTTCTCCTGCATGATCTGTGTCAACTTCCTTCCTTCGTCTATGGTGTTGATGGCGTGGAAACTCCTTCCAGGTGAAGATCCAGGGCCAGAATAAGGAGATGCTATCTGCAGCCTGCCAGATGTTCATGGGCAAGTCTGAGAATGAGATTGGCCAAATTGCCCTGGAGACACTGGAAGGTCATCAGAGAGCCATCATCGCCCACCTGACCGTAGAGGTGCTTGAGCGGCCCGATCCCCTGGCTGCATGGGCCTGTGTAGCCTCCAGCACCGACGAGACCCTGTATCATGCTGTACTAACACAATTTCTCCCTGTCTTCCCCTGAAGGAGATCTACCAAGACCGCAAGAAGTTCTCTGAGCAGGTGTTCAAGGTGGCGTCATCTGACTTGGTGAACATGGGCATCAGTGTGGTCAGCTACACACTGAAAGATGTCCATGATGATCAGGTGGGCTTGTCGTTCTTTCCGTTGCTGAGCTCTATGCTTCTGGTGCAGCATGAACTCACTTTGGACCATGGACCATGGTCTTCCAGGAATACCTCAGCTCGCTGGGGAAGGCTAGGACTGCTCAGGTACAGAGGGATGCGCGCATTGGAGAAGCACAGTACAAACGGGACGCAGTCATCAAGGTGAGCCACCCTTTTGTGTCTCCACCTTCTGCAAGACTGGAATGGTAAATATGTTCCAGGTAGTCATTAATAAGATCATTACTATTTCCTGATCTGTCCGGTTTCTTCTCAATATGCTGTTCCTCTTTCCCTCTGTGTTTGCTCTAATCTGGTTGGCTATTGTGGTCTAAGTGTCAGGGACCGTTGTCTTCAACAGCACACAGTTGACTTATGCTCCCTCTGCCTTTTTCCAGGAGGCACTGGCCATGCAGGTCAAGGTGTCTGCTCAGTACCTCAATGAGATTGAAATGGCGAAAGCCCAAAGGGACTTTGAACTCAAGAAAGCATCATATGACACTGAGGTCAATACCAAGAAGGCAGAGTCTGAGATGGCCTATCAGCTGCAGGTACTGCTGAAACTCAGTTACCCATAAGCCATTTGACACCACGCAGTCACTGAGCATGTCTGTGAACACTAACGACTATCACCCAAGCACAGTATTGAGCGTGTTGAATGTCCCCAGGTGGCAAAGACTAAGCAGCGCATTGAGGAGGAGAAAATGCAGGTGCAGGTGGTAGAGAGGGCCCAGCAGATCACCCTGCAGGAACAGGAGATCACCCGCAAGGAGCGGGAGCTGGAGGCCAAGGTGAAGAAGCCGGCGGAGGCAGAGCGTTACCGCTTAGAGAAGCTGGCTGAGGCTGAGCGGTAAGTCCTCCTCCTACTGTGTCTGCTGAACACCCCAATGTCTGATCTCATTCCCCCGTTCTCCTTCATCCGTTCAGCCTAAAGCTCATCATGGAGGCCGAGGCGGAAGCAGAGGCGATCAGAGTGAGTTCTAAAGCGCCATTCCGGCGCTGTCCGTTTCTCGTCTCCATTAGGCTTCGCCCCCCAACTCCCGCTCCTCTTTATCAGGGTTGACACACTTTACCTTTCTCTATGCACAGTATTAACTGCCGGTGTCTGTGCCCCGGGACCCAGATGGTCGCTGGGTCAAATCCTATGACCGGCATAGTGATCATGTGACCATTGGGCCCATGCCCAAAGTCCCTAACCCAAAAAACAGCTCCAGGGTCCAGGTTAAGTGGCTGATCCTGTACCTATGGCTGACCCCAAGCTTTGCTTTCACTTGTATATGTTTGTGCAAGATAGAATCTGCCAAGAGTTTCGTTGTACTTGATCTCACCTATACAAGGTATTTTGTTCTTTTTTATTAACCCTTTTCCTCAGCATTAGTATGTTCTCTAACCTTCTCTCTCTTTGTGTTTATGTACCAGTCTAAGTATCTTTTTCTGTGTTTGTATGATGTGTTGACTTTTGACATCAGTGAGTATGTTTTATCTGGTTTGTGTCTGGTTTGGCCCCGCCCCTGATGACCCCCCCAGATTAAAGGTGAAGCCGAAGCATTTGCTGTGGAGGCCAAGGGCAAGGCGGAGGCCGAGCAGATGGCCAAGAAGGCAGAGGCCTTCAAACAGTACAAGGAGGGTGCCATGGTGGACATGCTGCTGGAGAAACTGCCTCTGGTGAGCAACCAGGTGGAAAAGCAATTAGCGCATGGGACGGAAGTGGCAGAGTGAGGCATTAAATAAACCCTGACCGCCCCCTTCCCCTGCAAATCCTTTTCTATATTTTTGAAGAGTATCTATTTATAACTAGTACACAAAAACAGTAGACAAGCATCCAGCCACACTGTAATGTCACACAGCAGGCCCTAATTCGCGATTCAGTCTCAGCACTTATGGCAACTAAAGGGATAAATAGGCTGCTGGAGAGGGTTAATTGGCCAATGAAATAGTACTCATCCCTCAGGGACCATCCAAAGAGAGATAATGAAGATTATCACCATTTACATTACATTTAGCAGACGCTTTTGTCCAAAGCGACCTACAAGCAAGGCAAATAGTGTAAGCAGTACTGGAGCTTGAGTTACTCAACAGCTGCACAACTATGCATATAGTTATTAACAAAATAAGAATGTCATAAGACTACTCAAGGGCCAGTTAGTGCAGAATAAGAGCAGTCAGCAAACAATCAGATTAGTAGACAAATTCATGGAAGACAGTTCTTAAGGCATTTCTTGAAGATAGAGGAGTCCAGTGACCAGACGTGTCACCACATAAAATACATGACACAATATTTATGATGTGTACTGTTCACATATTTAACTGAAAATATTATGCCAATTTCTTGTAATATTTCACTAATCTTACTGTAAAGCTTATTTCATGTTAATATTAATACGATCACTTCATTAAGTAGTTTTCTACAACAAAACAATGAAAATGTGATTGGGATCCAATTACCAGTGGAATACCAGACACTTATTGAAAAGCAAGCAGTGACTTGTAATGTTACCATTAATTTAGGTATTTTAATGAGTCTAAGGGGGCAAGACAAAGAAAACGGAGCGTAATATGGAGCAAAAACTCCAGCTAGCTAGCTACTAACCTTAACAGAACCACCAATCCTACACACAGAAACAGTAGGATGGCATATTCATTCAGTTCTGGGTACTATTAAAATAGTACTTGCCTCATGTGCATTGGGGAAAACTGTCCATATTCTGTGATTGGCATCATTTTGAGCCAATTAAAATTCGGAGTAACAACTGGAGGGACCAATCAGTTTGAAGCCCCCATGCTCTGCCTCAGTTACCCTTACGTAATCATGCATATTAATACTAATACTATCACAACAGCTTTGTATTTTCTAATGGGAAGGGCGATCCCTTACGCGGCCTCTCTCCCGTAGATCGCTGAGGAGATCAGCAAACCCCTTTCAAGTGCCCAGAAGGTCACAATGGTGTCTAATGGTGGAAGCGAGGTGGGGGCGGCCAAGCTAACAGGGGAAGTGCTGGACATCATGACCAAGCTGCCACAGACCGTGGAGAGGCTGACTGGCGTCAGCATTTCGCAGGTGAGCAGGCGGCTTTCCCCTCCCTTAACTGCTCTCTTCTTCTCCTCTCCTTTCCGTCCCCCATCTCTCACGTGCGTCTCTTCTCTCTTCCTCCGCAGATGGCGGGAAAGCCATCCAGGATGGGATGAGGGCAGATGCTCACGTTCAAGCCTGATGGATGACAATTCGCACATCTCTTTACCGGAATCCATGTAAAGGCCTTTAATATCGTGCCAATAATGATGCGGCCATGTTTTTTTAGACTGCTTTGCTTTTTTGATGATGTCATTTATACTACGTAGCGAGATTTCCTGTAGCCAGTGATGCCTTTTTCTGTCAGCTGCATCGATGGCTAGCTCTACTACACCTGTTCTGTAATGTTCAAGTTTGGTTTGGCTAGGCTAGGAAAGGAAGAGACAGTGAAAGGCTGAGCTTCGATGAGTAGGCCTACCACACTGTGGGTGGCTCTCCTACTGCTTTAAACTATAGGTCACACTCTCCGTAAGTCGCCCTGGGGGGGGGGGGGGGACAAAACCTGCACCTCTAAGAAAGTCCACATTAAGTTGATTAGTTGATTATGTAGTTGATTATGTAGTTGAGTTAGATTAGTTGATTAGTGTTTATATACTCTGTAATTCATGAGTCCAGTAAACTGTCCGGCAGCTTGTTAACCGAGGGCTGTAATGTGTGCAGGTTAATTTTAATGTCTACTGTGAAGTCCCTCCTGTTTTAAGAAATACCTCCTACATAACTGTGTGTAACAATATCAGTTCCTACACGTCCCTGCCCACGATCGTCGCTCTCCTGAAATATGGACACAATATGCTGATATCTTGTTACTACACTGATTGACTGGCGTCTCTAACATCTCATATTTCTTCTGTGCAGTAAGCTATTTTACTGCAGGTTACCACATGTCGGCACATCAAGGTTGTCTTTTTAGGTTGGCCTTTTTGGATTTTCTTATGTCAAACATTTTCCATCTTCCAAGGCATTTTCCAAAGTATGTAACAGAAGATTTTACTATGCAAGTAAACGTACCTTGCTTCTGAAACTTACAGTGGTCCACTTTATAATGAGCATTTATGTGAAGCAATGGGTAAAATTCTGACAACTGTGAAAATGAACAGGCCTTTAAATCGAGAATGACAAACACTGCATATTATCTGAAAAGATCGCTTTATTAATTCATCTACAAAAAGTACACCAAAGAAAGAAAACGGCAACAAAATGGCAAAAAGACCCAGAATATCACATTTCATATATTAGTGAAGAAAAAAATCATTTTGTATATTTACATATTAGTTCTGGTTTAAAGACTGAGGACGATACATGTCATAAAAAAAAATGTTTTAGTTGGGAAGTACAGTGTATCAAAAATGAAACTAACGCACGGACAAGCTGTTTTACTGATCTCTCCAAAATGTGATTTTAATTGTATGCTCACCACACCAGCAGTTAATGAGGCAGATATACCACATGGCCAAAAGTATGTGGACATCCCTATTAATTAGTGGAATTGCCTAATTAAGCCACACCCAATGCTGACACAGGTGTATAATTAAGCACGCGATCTCCTGCAACAAACAGCAGCAGAATGGGTGGTTCTATAAAAGGTGTTAACAGCCCGGTCCCATTGTCCTCCTGGGGTCTATGCCCTCAACCCTCACAGACTTAACTGACATCACCTGGCAAGTGACCGAGTGCGAGAGGCTGCAAGGGTCCGAAATAGTATAAGTAGGATTGGGACAGTATGTTGTGATGTTACCTTGACAACACCAAAACATGTTCCTTACTATTGCAGGTTTGGGACATTTTAAAATGAAATTTGTACTTTCTTCATGGCCAAGGCACTTCAGGGACTGACTGACTGCCTAATATGAATGCGTTCCAGCCTCTAGCCTTTGAGTGGATGAGAGGTAGTTATCAAATTGTTCTTTTTTTTGTCAAAACAGCGTCATTAAGCAAAAACTAAAAGAAATGGTTTGTTCACCATTTATGCTTCCCCTGGTAACCCCATGTTTCATGTCACAGTGCTATAATCTGTGGGTAATTCCCTCAGGCACTTATCCTTATGGACAGTGTGCATAAAGGGTTCAAAATGTCTGCGAGATAGCCCGCATGCACTTAATTTGACAGTGGGACAACCTTAAGTCCTCAAGGACTTAACAGGAATGCACCTCAAAGTATGTGCATCCTTGATTGTGGAGAATGGGATTGGACCAGTGACTTTCCACGTGGTACCATCATAGGACGGCATCAAGTCAGTTCACCAAATTTGGCTTGCTAGAGCTGCCCTGGTGGGCTGTAAGTGAGGTCATTGTGAAGTGGAAACATCTGAGAGAGAGTTCAGCTGTGAAGTCATCAGTCACACAAATTCACAGAGAGTGACCTGATCACTCAGCATCATTACCCACCCTGAATGGCAGTAAATCCCACCAGCAATGTTACAAGCTGCTAATGGGAAGCTTTCCCAGAAGAACACAGGATTTTACAGCAGGAAAGTGTGACCAACGTCATATCAATACCCGAGGTTTTGGAATGAGATGTTGGACAAGCTGGTGTCCACATGCTTTTGGCCACATAGTGTGAGTTGCCCTCACTTCCACCTAGGTCCTGGAGTGCCCCCCTACAAACATAGGGGCGTAGCAGGGTTAGAAAGAGATCTGTACTGAGATTTCAGTAGTGCTTGTACATTTAACGTGTCCTGTACAGATATGGCACATCTGTGCTGAGCACCAGAGAACTTAATAGCAACATACACAGCCTTGGGACACGTCAGCACGAAATCTGGGTCGTCTCTCCCATCTTCTCCCAAACAATGGGGGCATGCAAAGTGCATATGCTGTTTTCTCCACACGAGGGCCAATCCAGAGGGGACCTTCCCAAGGGGAGATCACGTGCGGCTCCCACTCCACGTATGGAACCGACTCATCCTCCAGTCTGTTCCCAAAGCTGTCATCAATCTAGGATTATCTCATGCTGCAGTTTGGATTAATGCTTAATACCTCGGCCATGGCGCTTTGGCACAGTGGGCACTAGGATATACCGCACGCCACTAGGTTAACATACTGGCAATGACATGTTCTTGAAATTCCCCAAAGGTACAGCGTGGCTGCATTTTAAAAGTACAGGATCAGAATAACCCTCCACCGTTAGCCTTTGAATGAACAACAGCAACAAAAGCTCTAGTGAACTACGTTACAGTAGGTAGCTAATGTTTTACTAGTTCGAAGGGAGTACACCATGCTCTCCACGCGCAAACCGCAGTGGAGAAACCCTCAGCTAGTCTGATGTAAACCTAATTTCTCGAAGCCACGACAAGAGAAATCATATTAAAGCTTCTGCTATTCCCCAACGGCCCCGAGGGTAACTGCTGATTTATTAGTCATCCTACTCAATTTTTCTGGTTATTGTTTTTTTTTATCGGATTTTACATACATCTCATTCTGCTGATTTAATCACGTTTCAGTTCAATATATTCAGATAAAGACCTCATACAGTACACATTTACACTGGTGCAAGTAAAAAGAACTCTGTTCACAGCCCGGCTCGCACTATGCAGATATACACCCATTTCCCATCACCCAGCATCGCGGTTACATTCAAATCTAGTTTTTTCTGCAGGCAGAAAGGGGGGGTGGTCTGCTTGTAACCGAGCCAGCGGTGTTTCAGACCCACCCCCCCCAAAAAAAAAAAAAACATGCGGCAGACCTCAGCCGCCCACCTCTCTCCATGTGCTGCACTCATGGCCCCCATGTCACACCCCCTCCTGCCACTTAAACCATGTTCATGGCATCCTCCGTCAGGAAGGAGTGGATGTAGTTGAAAGAGGGCCGCAGCTTGCAGTCCCGGTTCCAGCAGCTCAGCATCAGCTCATAGAGGCCCTGCGGGCACACGGCCGGCCGGTTCAGGTACACCTGAGATGGGGGAGAGCAAGGCAGGGCTCAGTGAGCATGCCCAGGACCGGGGAGGCAGAGACACCTAAAGGTATCCACCAATTAGGATGCAATATCTTAATTGGGGTGCTGGGTTTACCTGTCGGCCTTGGTCCCTGAAGAACTCGCCTGCATTGTCGATGACCTGCTCGTCTGTAAGGGTGGGGTAGGGCTGTGCCTGGCACACATTCAGCATCTCCCACAGGGTCACGCCGAATGCCCACACATCACTGGCTGTTGTGAACTTTCCCTGGGGGGGAGGGGGTGGTCAGCATCAACCAGCAACTCAACTCATGAGCACATACACACCCCCCCCATGATGAAACACACTCTTCTTCTGAATATCCTTCTGTAATATCTCTCTCTCTGTCTCTCTCTGTCACACACACACACATCCAGGATCCAGGGGCCTGTTTCACAAAGAAGGATTTCTTGCTTAGCTGGATAACTTGTCAGATATAAGGTATCCCAGACTTTATCTTCCTTCACTTACTGTACATTTAGCCCAGAGTACCTTAAATCCACATATTTATCTGGCTAAGCTTGTGAAACAGCCCCCTGACTTGAACCACATGAGACCAAACATTAGTTCTCATTGAATGCGCTAATTCCTAAGCGTATCCCAACGAAACTGAAATTCCCATAATCCAGGCGCCTCTCACCATGAGGATGCACTCCCAGGCCATCCAGCGGATCGGGAGCACGGCTCTCCCCTGGATCCTGTAGTAATCCCCAGCATACAGGTTCCTGCTCATCCCAAAGTCTGCGATTTTAATCTCGCGCTCGCCCCCGACCTGGTCGCGCTCCCCGCCCACAAGGCAGTTTCTGGTGGCCAGGTCGCGGTGCACGAAGTTCAGGGAGGAGAGGAACTTCATGCCGGAGGCAATCTGACTGGCCATGGAGATGAGAGCGGGGTAACTGGCAGAAAGGAACAAAGACATTATACTGGTCAGCATCAAGCAGCTACAGTACATGGTCCAGTCTGCCATCCACATGTGAAACTCAGACCAGTACACACATCTATACATCCACCCACCCACACACACACACAACAAAGGTTCAGCAGTAACATTACAGACTCTGACCTCCAGGGGTGCAGGTTCGATTCCCACCCCCCTGGCTCTGCAATTGAAGTTGGCACATTTTCCCCATGTTCATATGGAGTATAGCAGCCCAATGACGTGTGGATAAATGCAGAAGGACTGTATGTGGCATGCAATGCATGCCCTGCAGGAGCCTGGGGTGTCCCGAGAGACTTCAGACCCACTACTGCCTCACACTGGCTGGGCAGCTATGGAAGGCGGAAGGAACGATATGTGAAGGGAATCATTTCAGGAAGATGGCCAGTTCCCACAGAAGGGCGCTCGCTACCTAATGGTTGGGGCATGGTGGGAGGGTCCTGCCTTGTCCAGCAGGACTCTGCTGGAGAGATACTGGTTGAGATCCCCGCTCTCCATGTACTCAGTCACCATGCATAGCGGGTCACTGCTGACGCACACACCAAGCAGTCGGATGATGTTCGGGTCCTTCAGTCGAGACAGGATCTTAACCTCTTTCAAAAAGTCATTTCTAGGAGACGAAAAAAGTAAACAACAACTCTGTAAATAGCTAGTGTGGCAACCAGAGGCTTCAAAAACAGAGAGTGGCGCAGTAAGTGTTCTGTCCTGCCCTCTGCCCTGCCAAGCTCGCCGCTGTGTTTACTCAATGCAGCTCATTGTGCTGTGTGCTGGAGAACAGCCAGCCTGGCCTTACTATGTCTTTGGCTGACATTCTAATCCGGAGCTGATACTATTAAAATCCAGGAATTAAAAGTAGCCTTAAGGAAGTCTGGGCAGAACATTGCCACTGTGTTTCATGACAGAGTGCTGAAATCGCCGTAATTAAAACCAAGTGGCCCGATTTCACCCTGATCCGGTTTTTATGGCGAGCCACTAACAGGAATGTATTGGTGACAGCCCACAGGCTTGGCAATGGCACACAAAGATGGTATTATTTATGGGCAAGGAATGCTGCTGCAGTGATCCCTAAGGATCCCCACTGGTTTGAGATGCTACACAAACAGCGCCAAGGATCCTCACTGGCTCACACAGTCAGCACAAACACAGACCTGGCGTTCTTGGAGGCGTCGGGCCGCAGTATCTTCACCGCCACCAGCAGAGGTCGCCCTTTCCTTACGTTAAAGGGAAACTCCAGGCTGGGCAGGTCTTGCGGGTTCTCGATCTCACACAGGTGGACCTGCGGAGGACACAGGCAGCACCATGCAGGTACACCGGGCTAAAACATGACACACTAGAACCGTGAGGAGTAAGTCTGTTGCCAGGAAAAACTCTAGAAAAGGACAGAACGATTAATAACGATAATGATGGTACTAGTAGTAATAAGAATAACACAGCCGAAGCCTGTGTAATTAACAATGTACCTCTCCAAACTGCCCCTCTCCCAGCTTCTCCTTGAACACGAGATACTGACGGGGCAGCTCGGGAAGCGGGTGGCAGTCCGTTGGGGCAGAAAGGGCAGGGACGGCATAGGTATTGTTCCCACTGACACCCTGGAGGCTAACAATGTCGGCCTCGGCGTAGTGGGGCACGCTGGCGGCACCCAGGGGCAGTGAGAGAGGTGGGGGAACTGAGGGTAACTGAGGGTGGGGCGGGGCTCCAGGGTAAGGGGGTGGATCCTCCTGCGTGGGCACAGCCTTCTCATCCCGGTCAAACCCACAGCCTGGGGGAGAGTGAAAATCAGTCACTGACACACATACTCTGACACAGCAGGCTACTAATACTGCAAGAAGAGTGGTGCCATCACACACATATTAATGGGGGTGGGGGGGGGTCCATGCCTCTTACCCTGCTTTACATTGTGCATCTTTTCCGGCACACTCGTGCATCCGTGCGGCCAGCTCTTGGCATGCCTCTGGTCAGACAGTAGGACGTGATAGGCTGGGTTGTTTAACAGCAGGGCTAGGGAGGTCGGGGGGGTGGTCACAGCACACAGTGCAGGGCGAATACACGGCAGTTAGCATCGCACTACGATACTGTTACGCTATGCCAGGGGTCTCCAACTCCAGTGCTGGAGAGCTACTATCCAGTAGGTTTTCTATCCTACTTGAGTTCTGATGAGCCACACCTGGCCCTGGTATTTACCTGAGAACAGGTGTGGCTCATCAGAACCTACTGGATAGTAGCTCTCCAGGACCGGAGTTGGAGACCCCTGTGCTATGCTAACATACAGCAGTTAGCATCCCACCACAGGACTGTTACGCTATGTTAACACAGCATTAAGAGGACACACTCCATCTAACTGACGCTGGTAGCAACAGACAGACCATGCAGATGCTGGCTCACAGACTCGGCATTTTCCGTACCCTTACCTGTGCTGTCGCGGTCCCCCCTGGACCGGAGCAGTGCACTGGGCTCCTGGTACTCGGCGTCACCGTCGCGGTCCCGGTCATCGGGGAAGGTGTGTATGCGCTGGTAGCGACTGGAGTAGCTGTGCGTGTTGTTGATGACCACATTGTCTGCGGGGACTGAGAGGTGCACGCGCAGCTCGTCACCAGAGAGGCTACCCTGGGCCTGAAAGGGATGGCATGTCTGCTATAACACAAGCTCGTACACTCACTCAATATAGTATGCTCACTTCAGTACAGTATGCTCAATTCAGTATGCTCATTTCAGTATAGCATGCTCACTTCAGTACAGTATTTTCACTTTAGTATAGCATGTTCACATTATTATATTGACTTCAGTGCAGTATAAATGCTTCAGTACACTAATGACTTGGTACACTAAACTCATTTCTGTCCATCATTCTCACAATAAAAAAAAACACTCACTACTCTATAATCACCACACCAAAGCCAGCCCACTGAAGTATACCTACTGCAGTGCAAGACACCATTACAATGCATGATTCAGTACTCCTACTCCACTACTCCCTCTTACATTAGTAAGCCCACAGGTACACTCAATGTTACACAGTACAGTACATCAACTACAGTATATTATACTGAAGAAGACACGTGCATTACAGTATAATATACTCAGTACAGTACTCAATGCAGTATACCAACTACAGTATAGTATTCCAATTAAGGTGTAATCATTACAGTGCAGCATATTCACTACAATACTCAGTATGCTATGGTTTACTCATCACAGTACAGCATAGGCACATTTAAGTTCCCTAATGTAAACATTATGACTGGAACAGAAGCTAAACAGTCATCAGAAAGAGTTCTCACACACCTTAGGTTAGAGACTCCCACTTCCCTCACCTACCTTGCCCAGTATTTTCTTCCAGTACTGCCTCCAAAGAATGACAACGATTACAGCCAGTAACAGTAAGATGATTCCCACCAGGCAGCCAATCAGGATGGAAGTGTCGCTGCTGTCGTCCTTGGCAACGGGCATGCCGGGTCTTGGGGATTTTCCCATCTCTGTTAAAAAACAAACAAACAAGTGAGTGAGTCAGTCAGGGTTTTTTCTGGTGACACTGCTTCTGAGAGTCACCACCGGTCGACGATGTCACACCAGCATCATGTCCACGGTCAATGAGTCGCTAAAGAAGTGACCCTGCGGTCAAATGGGAGGACTGATAATAGCATTTTCCAGCAATGGATGTCGTGTGGTGTCTGATACCTCAAACAGGAAGTGCACACTTCACACAGAACAACATTTAAGGGGCGAAGTCAGTACAACAATGAGAGCGGCACGGCGGCCACATGCAGGCATGCCGTCGAATGCTCCTGCAGGATTATGACTCCACTTGGTCAATCATGCCGGACATGAGGTCACAAGAGCGGAAGCACCAACCCGCTCTCCCTGTCTCTCACCTGACAGCGTGCTGTTGTCTGTGGTGCTGTTCACAGCGTGCGTGGTGGGGGGGTCTAGAGGAAAAAGTGGGGGGCAATGGGGTAAACGTGAAGAGAAAGGGGGAGAGGGTATGCCATGGAACGTGTGTGGGATGCCCCCCTAGACACACACACATGCAGACTGCCTTTCTGTCCCCAAGACACCGTGCAGGACTCACCAGTGCGGAGTCCGGTGCTTGCAGGGCTGGGGGCAGTGGTGGGTGGCCAAGAGGGACCAGGGTCCACAGTCGTTGGCACCTCATAGGGTTCTAAGGAAAAGTAAAAACCATGACTAAGGTCAAACAAATACATAGATCCCTATAACTCAATTACAGACTGTACCCGTCAGGCGTATACAGGGGGTACAGCAGTACATCAAACTCCCACAATCCTCTGCTACAACAGAAAACCTCTAATTAATCTAATTAGAGGCCAGCTCCAATCCTGCACATTGTGCTGCTTATGAATTCAGATCTAGCATACCTTGGGTAACACATATGACTGTAACAGAAGCTGTCTGCAGACAGTGTGAACCCCCCCCGCAAGCTTATTGGCTGAAGCCACCTTAACTGCGTGGGTGCCCCAGTGCTGCTGAGCTCCAGTGCCATGCTAATAGTCTGTAAGCGTATTGCAGTGGCATCACGTCACCATGCGCCTCCACTCGTGCCTCCTCCCACATGCCCCCTCCCCCGTCACCCCGGGTGGCTCCACGCACCAGAGTAGAATGAGATCTCGCTGATGAGGAGCCAGCGGTCCGAGAACGAGAACTGGCAGCGCAGGAACTGGGCCGGGCGACCTCCCAGGGGCAGGGTGATGGGTCGAGACGAGGGGTCCTTCAGATCCGACAGGGGCACAGGGAAGGACAGGGGCGGGACCAGCCACGGACGCAGCACCCCAGGCTTGAAATAGCATTCCACCTTGTTGAAGACTCTCACCCCCTGGGTGTGTCGGTTGTTACTGTGCACCTGAGGGAGAACAGAGAGAGACACTTACAAGGTGTGGCTGACAAGCTGAAACAGGGAGAAACCTAATGCTCAGCTGGTATAAATGACCTCAGATAAAAGAAAATGAGTTTTATTAAAATAAGACTAATGGCTTAAAATTCACACACACACATACACTTCAGATGAGACTCCTGCATCTATTCAGCAAATACTTCCTGTCAGACTATGTAGAACAGGAGCGGCTAGCCACAAACACCCCGGAGACCTGTAATAGTCTTCATTCTAGCTGGGATTTAATTTCTAGGGGGTGGGGATGCACTACAACAGCCTAAACTGACAATCCAAAACAGCCCGGGTAAGGAAAAAAAAAAAAAGACGACACAAGCACATTGGGCAACATTTAGGCGGTTTTTAAACAATGCATTTTAAAACAACAATGGGAAAACAAAGAGTTTCACGGAGTAAGGAAAACCAAGGGAGGGACAGGCATCCATAGAGCTCGACCCGCAGAGAAGCACATTACCGGCTTATTAAACAACCCGCTTAATTACAGCTTACTAACTACTTGTTGCAGACAAGATAATCATCTTCAGATGCAGAATTTGATTTCCGTTGTGGGAAGGGGAAAGGGTTAATTCAAATGATGATTCAAAATAAATTCCTTTATGATGCATAAAACTTTGTGCAAACTGGCCTTCTTATTGTGACCATCCAGTAACTCACAACATGTGTCCTAAGAGGGATTTTTCTCTGCACAGTACATTTCCACGGCACAAGCTCAGCATTGGCAGGACATGCTGGTATGACCGGCACCTCGCATCTCCCATGACCCCAGTTACAGGTCGAGATCGGTGCTGTGCACCTGCATGCGTGTGACTCGAATGATGTCATCACGCCGTGCTCATTCACCCCCATCGGCCTGATGGTGCTCTCAGATACCCTGAGGTCTTTCCTGGCAAAGATGATAAACAGTCCCACTTGGGTATTGAGTTACTGAAACAGCATGACTTTGTTCCAAGGATCATGCTGCAGGTTTACGGGAGAAACAAGACAAACTCACAGTCGGTGAAGTTACGTGTACAATCAGCTGAAAGAGCCGTGAGTGAGAATCCTGCCCATACGGCGTTCCAAAGCCTCTTTTCCCCACCCACTTGGTTTCCACTCAATCTCCTATGCACTGACCTGCATGCTGTGGAAGACGCGTGGTCTCTCGAAGTGGAATTCCACCTCCACGCTACCCTGGCCCAGCGCATCACGACTCCATCCCAGGTAGTCATAGCCAGGCCACACACGGAGCTCCTTGCTCTGGATGAAGTCGTCACCCCCCAGGATGCCATCGCACAGCTGGCCCAGGCCCCCGAACTGCATCCTGACAAGAGACGGCACTGAGCGCTCCGCTCACACGCCACCACCCTAAGCTGCAGACCCTGAGTTTGATCTGTACATGTGTCTATGACTCTCCTTCGTGTTTATAAACAGTAATAATGATCAGTACCCTCCCTCTGTGCTACCATCGTAGGTGGAGTCGTTCAGATAGACCAGCGACCCGGAGAGGTTCATGACATGTCCAACCGGGGCCGTGTAGGCCTTCAGGCCATCTGAGAGAGAGAGAGAGAGACACACACACACAGTTACACACACATTCTTCCACTGCTCCAGAACACAATTCGTAGATGGTCATAATGTCCAAGGGAAACCTGCAGAAGAGTCACGTTCACTCACCGTTCCACAGGCATCCGTAGAGCTCGACCCGCAGACAGACGCTCATCACGCGGTCGGCCAAGGGGTAGAAGCGCACCATCCGAGCCACAATGGGCGGGCCCAAGTCCTTTAGCACCACGTCATACGTATTCTCGTTCCCTGACACCACCTGGCCGAGAAGGCACAGGGTTTACTCATACCGCATCTGGCAGCACACCGTGAAGGTAAGAGGGTGATTACAGTCACAGCACCACGCAAAATATGCTTTTTATTGCTTGCAGAGAGCACAATAGGTCTGGTTATGGTTGTAAAATGAAACTGCTTTCCAGAACAAACTAGGCGCTTAACCCCAATGTGGTAAAATGGGGGAGCTGGAGGGAAAATATTATGCATTTTTTTAATGTGTTGTGAAATAGAAAAACTGCAATGAAAAAAATGGTGTCCTTGGTTTTATTGACTTATTTACTCCGCAGGGTGGTGTTAAACTGGTTTCTGACCAATCAGATAAGTGCATGATAAATAGAGTATAGGTCACCTATGAAATACTGTTTAAAAAACAGAAGCACATTCATTAGAAAACACATGGGGGACACAGGCACCCCAGGGGAGGGGGGTCAAAGTCAGGTGAATGCTGACTTCATTCCATTCATTTCACCTGGGCTTCACTACTAGCCTGATGAAGTCCTGCTTCCTCTGCCAGCCCAGAACACACCCCCAGGGTCCCCTGCATGAGCCTGACACCCAAAACCGGTCCCTGTTCCCTGTTGCCTGCTAGACCACATGCTCCCTAACAGTCTGTGACATGATAATTGGGGGGGGGCTCCATGCATGGTGGTGAAGTGACTCCTGGAAAACACTATCATCTCTAGTGTGCTTCCCCATGGTCGCCGAGAGTCCCCTAGTGAAGTAGCGCTAATTAAAAAGCTCTGCGGACCCCAGCTGCTCCCAGATGGGGCCTCAACTGACGGACTCAAAGCCACCTCATGCGGGTCTGAGCCCCGGCGTCACTGGGGGCCGGTACAGTTTACTGCCAGGATGAAGAGGAGAGACACAGAGGGGCTAAGACATACAGAAAGAAAAACTAACTGTGATTAAGCCTCAGACGAGGAAGCCGTCCATTGCATTGCATTGTTCAGGCCCGTGTCCTCCCCCCTCAGGCCCCATGTCCCCCCCCATCCCCACTCCCTCACAGGCCTCGTGTGTCCCCCACCCCCCCCCACCCCACTCCCTCTCAGGCCCTGTGCCTCCTCTTCCATCTTGTTTTTGCAAATTATATATCTCCATTGAGAAATATTTTTCGTTAACAAAATCAGCACTGTTCAGACTCTGGCCCCCCTCCCCCATCATGCCTTCTCACACCCCATGCTCCACCCCCCCATCGCGTCCTCTCGGTTACGGCTGGCTGAGATATTGATTTCAAATCCCTGCAGCCAGCATGCATGAGAGTGTCTCAGACGACAGCGTCTCCGGTCCTTCCGGCAGCATTACGGCATGGCAGGTGACAAGTGTGGCCACATGTCACTCTGCCGATTCAAGGACACCAGAGGCAAAGATGTGACGACGGGAGACCACAGCTTAAGGAGGAAAAAAAACAGGGGGGCTGTATGACTCAGTGGGTTAGCCCCCTGCACCTCTGATCAGAAGGTCGCTGGTTCTAAACCCATCCTTGGCAGAATAGTCACATGCTCATGGTGATTTTCAGCAAGGCCCTTAAAGCACCAAGGGGAGCCTGAGCTCAGACCCCTAGCTTCACTCCCCATTGCATGTGTCTGTACTCACACGTCTCAAAGGAGAGCATGATGGGATATGTGACAAAAAGCATTCCAATGTATTGGTGCTCATACTTGTGCGAATGGCAACTAAAACATTTGAAAGAGTTTTGAGGAAGAATCTCACAACAGAACGGTGCCCCAGTGGCAGGGGGCAGCACTGCGGCAGCTGGTACCTCCTGCCCCCAGCGGTCCTTCCAGGTGATCCACTGGTGCCCGTCGCGGGAGTAGCGCAGCCGATAGCTGCGGGCAAACTCGCGGCCGTGGCCCTCGGCGTGCCGGCCCTGCGTGCCCACCAGCGACAGGAAGTGCAGCGTGCGCAGGTCCACCTGCAGGTACTCGGAGCCGCTGGGATAGACGGAGCCGGCCGGGCACCAGGCCCCGTCACCCTCCCCTGTGCTCAGCCTGACGGAGGCGGCAGCCAGGAAGGAGACGGAGGTCAGCAGTCGTGTTTACATCCCTCTCTACCTTCTGGCTTTTATAAATGTCTTTCATCTGAATGCTTTGGCGAGACAGGGACTGCCGCCATGTTGATAATGAATGCACAGCCTGCCGCTAACAATTTAAACCTCCCAGGCTGCAGATAGTATCATCTGTTCTGAGGACAGAGATATTAATCTCGTATGTCATCACTGCCAGCCTTACTGTGTTCTACAGTGCCCCCCTCATGTGATGCGAGATTTATGGAAGCTGAGCGAGATGGACGGCCAGGCAGAGGGGTGTGGAGCGTACCTTCCATGCTTGGCCTCTGTTGAGTCCGACCAGGCACTCGAGGCAGTGATGTCGGAGTCGGGGATGGTGCCGTCCTCCATGCCAAGGGCGTAGCGGCACTGAGCTGCAGAGTGGGATGGCGCACAGGGTGGGTCACCTTGATACAAGATACTTTATTCGTCACATACATGGTTATACAAGTACAACATGTACCCTGAACGACCCTTAGACTGTGCAAGACAAAAACAGGATGTGAGTGAGGCAAAACAGTTACAATAACCAAAGTTACAATAACTAACTAAAATATATACATAAAATGGAGAAGTACAAAATAATATGCAGTGCAATACAGGATAATATACAGAACTACAGAAGTTGTTCTAATATAGAAAATAATAAAGGTTAAACTGTACGTGTGCATGTGATGCTAGAACAGTGTGCCTTTTCACAGATGACATAAGTACAAATATAAATGTACGTAAGCAGCAAGGGTGGATGGAAATGTAGTTCACAGATTATTGAAAACAGCAGGTACAGCAGGTTGATTAGGAAGAGATGACATGAGTTGTGTATATTAGGGATGTATATTAAGGATATAGTGGTGGCATGTCCTGATTGAGAAGTCTTACGGCGTGGGGATAGAAGCTTCTCCTGAGTCTCTCAGTTTTTGCCGTAATGCTCCTAAAGCGCTTGTCTTATTTCAGCGCCACCATGGTGTCACCATGCCAGGCTCACCAAACTGCGGGGGCACCTCAGTCACTGGGAAGCCCGCTGTCCAATAGCCAGACAGATTACACTACAAGCCTGACCTTCAGCAGAGCCCTGAGACGTGGTGAATCACATGCATTAACCTCGGGTTCCGGTACAAGCTTAACTTCTCCTCACGCCATCACATAAAAACTCGCTCTTGCTGCCACGCTGACATTCCTTAATTACTGAGGCCCAGCAGACCCTAATGGGAAATCTTTTCTGTTGCACTTGTCTCCGTTTTCACTGGCCTGGGGGGGCGGTTTGCCTCGCCGCCCTCTTGGACAGATCCCGTGCCCCACAAAGCCCCTGTTGCCATGGAGCATGGTAAGCCTGCCCCGCGGTGACCCAGAGAGCACAGGACGGGGATGGAGACAGAGCTCGAATATCAGACATGAGGTCAGATATCAGCAAACATTATTTAATGTGACATTAACCGGACTGATCTCATAGTGTGGGGGGAGGGGGGTAGTCCTCTTATTTGCTGTCTGAGTCATTAGCTGGGAATTTGTGGCTGGAAC